TAAGAAATCAGCTGGTTTCCTGAGAAACTGGACTCGACCATTGAGTGGTGTTTTAGATGGTAAATTCCACAACAGGCCAGGTGGCCGGAAATCCAAAACCTCCATCACATCCTAGGAGGGCCTTGACTCTGCTGAAACAGTAGTTGGGGACCTTTGGTAACAGCCAGTGTTTGTAACTGAACTTTCACTTGAACTAGAACTTAGAAGGAGATCAGGGAACAGGTGGTGTATTTTTGGAGACTGTCTCGCTTTCACAGATCAACAAGAAAGACATGTTACTTTTCCTTTAGACCTGCCTAATAATCTTGATACTACAAAATTCACTACCTGACACCAAACTATTTTTGATGAATGGTGCCAAAACTTTACAGCATTATTTCACAATCCCTTAGTAGTATTTTGGCCCAAACCAGATCACTATGTGGTCCCCAGTGACTGGTATTAGATATGGTACAGAAGCCTCCTATTATTCGCAAATCAGACAGGAACTTGTTACTTAGGTAAACTAATACCTATTCTCAGGATTGCTTCTGACGTCACCCAGGATCCATTTTGGCCCATTAGTTTGTCCTCTAGGAAAACAAGATTAGTAAACAGTTTCATTGAAGAAAGAAAATTTGATTCCAGAACTGAAATCCTCACTACTCTAGGGGAATTGTGAAATTCAGGACTTTCATTTCCATACTTTAGAAGAGGTCTGAATGGTAAAATGAACTTTACATGTTATTATTGAGATAATAAAAGGTGATTAGACATGCCACCAAGAACACATCTCCTGAGAGGTTTATGAAATTGGATGGGAGGTGATTTATAGCAGAGCTGCTTCAGATGTATTTCAGCCTGCCGAGGGTAATGTGCAACGTTCAGGGGAGGAATGCTGTACTTGTATTCCTGACGACCTCTCAGAGATCTTTAATATTACTAAAAAGATCCAAGAAGTAAACAAAGATATCAGGAAGCTGGAAACTTTGATCCCATATTTGGTTCCATGGACTTTTCCGATTGTACATGAAATTTGTTCTTTTATTTAGGCTGGGCATTCTTGGTTCCTGGCTGAAAAGTGAACTATACACACTGTGGTTATAATTCTTCTCTTTGTATTTGTCTGTGTCCCAGTGTTCAGGTGTGCGATCTCCAGAGTTTTGAACACTGTTGCATAGCTGCTATGCGTCAAATGACTCAGCAAAAGGTCATGCAGAAGAAAGAACTGGAAAACCTCACACACAGGCTGAAACAACGGCCCCCAGAAACTTGGGAGCTTGATGCAACTATCCACAGATGATTGACATGCAACTATGATACCTCAAACAGCGGTGAAGATCTGAATTGATGCTCTCAGATATTGATGGTCTGACCTTCATTTGGGGCTGAATAATGACCACAAGGACCAACTGAGAACAGAAGCCATCTTACACCACAGCCAGCCCAGACGCGGAGAACCCAAAACTACATCTTAGTGTTCACATTAAGATGACTTTGTGTGATACCTCTGTCTTCATTAACATGACTTTAGGAAACTGCTGTGGGGTTGGGACACCAGTTCCTGGTCATTGCAGGGCAGGCCCTGTGAGGATGTTTGCTGTGAAGGCAAGAAAAGGCACCAAGCAAGGGTCTGACTCCACCATTAATAATCTTTGGGACTCGATTTCTTATTGCTGCAGTTATCGCAGGAGGTAACTGGTGTCCGCTCATTGAAAAGCAGCGAGCACTGTTTATAGATGCGAAGACAGGCAATTGTATGTGTGGTCGGATAGGTTTTCTTGGCCCACTCCTGCCCTGACTTCTTTCTTCTCTGACTCCTCTCCCAAGGGAAAAGGGTTTCAGTCCGACAATGTAAAGCAAGGTTATTTAAGTGTAATGATAACTCATCCAAGTTAGGAAGCTGGTCAGTATCAGCCAGTGAGAGATGGATTTGTCCTGTAGATATTCTTCCCCATGGCTCTGGAAGGCGTCGGGCCCCATCATGAAGGAAGGATGGAGCCGGAAGCAAATCCACCCCCTCCAAAGACCGGGAGCGAATGTGAGAAAGTATGTGTTACTGCAGCTGTGACCCTTTAGGGGAGTTCTAGAACTGAGCTATGCTCTCAGAGAGGACAGAAGAGCAGAGAGTGTGTGCAAGAGGTCTCCTGGGCCCCGTCCAATACCAGCTCCATGTTGCTTTCAAGAACTGGGTAAAAATCTCAATATATATCTGCGTCTTCTTCTGAGCTCTGTGTGTCCTCAATCAGCTAACAAATGGTTTTCTTTCTGGCAATGAGCTATATACCAAGCACTCTTCCAAACACTATAGATAGAAGCCGAGGGTTCATGCATTTTTTACAGGCTGTAATTCCTTTAGTAATGTTATTTCCCAACTGAATGAAATTCATCTGGAATGTGGAAAGCAAGCCAGAATTTGCTCCTCAATCTTCCCCAAGCCTCTTCCACTTTAGTTTTTCTTTACAGTCAGTGTTCCATGGACTCCACCTAATGAATAATTTAGGAGCCAGAAAAGCAGCTGCTACATTAGGAAGACCTCCAAGCCCAGCATGTACTCCCTCACTCATAACAGGTGTCTTCATGCGCACGGACCTGATCCAAAGTGAAAATCGGCAGAGGAGATGCTGGAAGCCCAGCAGGGTCTGACTCACCCTCCAGCTTGGTGATTTTAACCGTTAAATACCTTTACTGAATGATCTGGAAGGTGGGCGAGTTCTGACCCTCCTCCTCAACTAACGGGATGACAAATTGTAATTATTTTGAGAAAATAACTTTGTATTCTCAGACATTTTTGTCCTCTCCATATCCTAGAAGCTGGAAGGAACAGGATCTCAGATCCCCCCAGAGGTGACTCCAGAGAATTGAAATGAAAATCTTCATGTAATTGCGCTTCAGTTAATTTCACGGATTCCCAATATTTAACTGTATTCCCGCTGTATTCCTTGATCATCTGGACCCTTGAAATGAAAACTCTGACCCATTTCCTCTTTTTTATGGGAGAAGGGAGCATGGCAAGAGGGGTTGGGGTGAGTGGCATATTTCAGTAGGAAGATGTTTGTGTTTTAGGCAAAATGACTTTCCATCTCAGTCCTGCTTGAGGACCATGTGCCCACCGGTGACACCGAGGCGTGGTGGGTGGGCCGAGTGGGTGCAGGAGGGACATGGAGAGGAGGGTCCTGGGCAGGGAGAATGGAGTGTGGAGAACCAGATCGGAGCACCCTACGTCTAGATAACTGTCACCAAGAGAGCTGACCCTCCTGTGGGGAAAGGGTTGCTCGTCCAGCCACATGCAGGCACACTTTCTAACGCTTGTCCCCATGTCTGGAGGGAAGTAATGGCTGGATGGCGGCCGGGGTAGGGAGGACAGAGAGTGGCCAAGGGGCAGCTCTGGAACTCTGGGGGCAGGAAGGAGGGCTGAGATGCCAGTGGTGGCTCCCTGGCCCCTCCCTCCTGCCCAGGGTCCTGGCTTTTCCACAAGTCTTGCTCTTGGGTTCTTGCCCCCACCCCCCGACTTGTCATGAAGGGACTCAGGCCCCTGGCAGTGGGGGAGCAGAGGGTGACAAGACAGAAGGGCTTGGCAGAGGAGGTGAATGCTGCCTAGTTCCTCCATGCCAGTACCGTGTACCTGGGTGGGGGCCCGGACGAGCCCCGGGGAACGACCCTCCCCCTCAGAACCGGCCAGGGTAATCTTCCGCCCTCACCCCAGAAGTCCATTCTTTCCCGTGATTCTGCTTCCTTGCTTACTGGGGAGGTTCAAGGAGGAGGAAACGGCATCATAGTATCCACAACACGTCTCATGACCTGAAGTGTAGGATCCCTGGCCTGTGGGTGTGGCTTCTGCCCTCCTCATGGCCACAGTGGGTGGGGGGGGGGTTCTCTCCTGCCGAGGACTTACTCTGGCTCCTCCTGGAGCAGGTGGCCCCGCTCTGGGTAAAGCCCTCCCCGCCTCGCAGAAGAGCTTGTGGCCGCATTGCTGATGGGAAGGTGGCCTAGCCCCACTACTGCTGGCACTGTGTGGAGGTTAGGAGTGTGCCGTCTGGAGTCAGGTGGCCTGGGTGTGAGCCCTGGTTCCACCACCTACCTGCTGCCCAGACGGCGTTTCCCTGCCAATGGTCACTGCTTCCTGACGCTCAGCTCAGTGTCCCTAGCTCTGGGCTGCGGGCGGGCCCTCTCTGCACAGCATCGTGTCCCTTCCCCAATTAAAACACTTGCCCTCACGCGCCCCCCCTCCCCCCCGACCCAGGGCTCCTTAAGAGGTGGGGGGAGGGAAAGGGAGGGGAGAGGAGAGGAGGAGAGGGTTGAAGAGAACGCTGGGTGGGGCGGCTGGACCCGGAATGCATCACCCCATCTCACACCCCCCCTACCTCAGGCATCGCCCCACCTCACCTGTTCCCGGAGAGCTGCTCCTCGCCTGCTGCCTCACTCCACTGCCTGCTGGAAGAGATAGAGCATGCCGGGTGGCCGACCTCTAGGAGTCGCCCTCCATGGATCACCCCCATCTCGCTGTGGGAACCCTCAGCTGGCCCCACTGCCCCAGACGAGGACCTGGCCCCGATCATTTTATGAACAAGCTTCCCCAGTCCTGACAAATCTCTGACCCCCTGGAGCAGACATGAGGTTAGAACATCCCCACACCCTCCCTGCCCCAGACAAACAGACAGACAGACAGACAGAGAAGTCTGCTGAGGGGATTGCTGCGGAAAGGCAATTCTAAGGAAAGCAGGAGGCTAAACCCCGGGTGGGCTCTCAGGACTCTGCCGCTTAACACCAGCACCGTGCATCGTACCGGACACACGCCCTTTTCCGTCCCTTCAGTGGTCATGCCTGGGAGCAAGTTGCCTTGGTCCATCTCATGGGTGAAGCTGGGAGAGGCCAGATAACCAGACTGCGGTCATTCAGCGAGCAGGTGGCAGACCCTGGACTCAAGCCTGGTCCTGGTGCCTCTGTTCCACTGGTTCCCCGCTGCTGCTGAGGAACCCTGGGGCGGGGAGGGGGGGCACTCGGAGCTGAGGACCACTCACCTTCCTCCCCGAGGCTCTTTAGCTGGCGGCTCATGGTCAGAGGAGCTCCTCAGCCCCCCTCGCTGGCTCACACCGCTCCTGGTCCATGTGCACCTTCATTCAGCCTGGGGCGCTTTCCTGCCCTCTTGGTGGCCGGGCTTCCTTTCTGGGCCCTGATGGCAGCCAGGGCTCCTTGGCTGGTTTGAGATTGAACTGGAGGTGGGCGAAGGTTGGGAGAGAGGTGAGGAAAGAGGCGGGGAGTTCCCAGCCCTTCAATCCTGCCACACACTCCTCCACTCAGGTTTCCTAGCAAAGGGGCAGTGCCGCCTCATGTTTCAGGCATCACTTACACATGGAGGGGCCCTGGAGGGGCCAGCTCGTCTCCCAGCCACATCACCGGCACTCTGGCCACGGGGGATGTGGGAGGCATCCCAGGGCCCTTTCCCTCTACCCTGAGTCTCTAGTTGGGACGAAGCATCAGGAAAGTTCTAGAATGTTGGTGAAAATTATCCCCAGGGCTTCTGTTTAAAATGCAGATTCCCAGGACCGACACTGGGCATTCGAATCAGTAGGTCTGGGCAGTGCCCAAGGAATCTACACTCTGAATCCGGATGCCAGAGTCCTGGGGTCCCTCTGATGAATGGTTCCTGCCCCTGACACCTGTCACTCGCTTGGCAACTTTTCCCACTGTTGCCCGCCCCCCGAAAGGACCCATCTGGCTGCTTTGAAAACCAGAGGTTCCGAGTTGATCCTTTGGAAGGCAGCCACAGGCCCTGGGGTGTGCGGTTCTCAACCTGGGATCCCTATGAGCAGAAAAGGGGGGAGACATAACAATTTCATTTTCCCTTGTCTTTGAAATACAGCCTTTCCCTCAAAAACATGTGATTTTTGTCCCCAGTGGAAGTCATAGACATTTTCTCAGCATGTTAAGCTGTTGGGGGAAGTATCATGGGTGCCTATCACTACTTTGAAATTATGACCGTTATAAACCTGTCAGTAGACTTTGTTATTTACTTGTTAGGAGGACCCGTTGCCTGGCCACCCTGGTGAAGGGAAGGGGCCAAAGAGCTACCACAGGAGGAAGAGTCTGAAGTACACACGCTTCAGCTCAGGCTTGAAATCTTTCTGTCACTTGGCCTCTCCTGAGCCCCAGGATTCCAAGACAACGGGGGCACTCTTGCACTCTCCGGCCTCGACGCTGTAGCACTGGGGCCCTGGTGTGACTGCAGCCAGCTTCTCTCCCAACCCAGCAATCCCTCTGGCAGAGGGGGCTCCAGCTGGCCTGCCCACCTCCCCTAATGAGTGAGGACCCTCCCAGCCCTTCCCGGGTCTCTGTGATCTGAGGGAGTAAGACTTTCTACATTCCCTTCATTCCTGCAGGGAAATTCCCTCGCGTTCCGGCACCTGGCCTATCTACAACAGGGAACACACTGCTTCTCTGCTTCCCACAGAGAAAACCGGGCACCCGCTAGGGCTAGAATCCATTGTAGGCACAGGGGAACGATCAGTGAATAAAGCAGAGACCCCTGCCCTCTGGGGGGCTGTTTCTGCCATCCCAGGTGGGTGGGTGAGGGCTTGGCATCTCAAGGGGGAAGCTGGGAATTCAGAACTGTCTTCTCTCTCACAACAAAACCTATGACAACTGTTGCTATGGGATTCCAAGTCCAAGTTTGGGAGTCAAACCGAACACAGAGTATTTTGCGTTATTCGTTGCACACCGCTTAATATCAATTCCAGGGCTTGGTGAGGGAAACACACACGCAGGTGTCACTCTGCCCTGAGGAAGGGACGAAGGTCAGTCTGTCCTCATCTCCAAAGGGTCCACCCACAGCAGCAGGGGATGGGGGGAGCCAACAGGGTTTGTGAGGCCCCAGGGACCTGGGTCTGAGCCACTTGCTCAAGGGGTGACACAAAGAGATGCCATTAATATTTTATAACTCTTATTCATGTCACCCGTATGTTGTACGGCGCTGTGTGCTCTGTCTTGGCTGGGAGCTCTCAGAAAGGTCTCTCTACTCCTTTCTGTCAGGCATGTGCCAAGCCCTTTAAATGATTTATTTAATCATCTCCACAATTATCTAAGGAGGATCACCTCATTATCTTTTTCTTCTTTTTTACAGACAGGGAAACTGAGGCTGAGATAAGTAATGTGCCCTCACATTCCCTGGGGAAAGGGACCAGCACTGATGGCTGCCTCACACCAGGCTTTTATCCTGCACACTCTTTACCTTTCTGGAAGACTCTGGACCACACCATATCATATCGTTCTTTCCAAAGGTCCCTGTGTCTGCCTCCCACCTGGGCGCCTGGCTTCTGGTCCTGCCCTTTCAATCTTTCTCCTGCATGGAAGCTAGGGGAGCCCTTAAAGCAGAAGTGGTCAAGACCACATCTTGACCCTGCTTTAAAACCCTGCCCTGAAACCCCATGGCCTCAGGATGAAATCCAGACTCCCTGTTGTGCCATTTAAGGCCCGGAGAGCTCTGGGCCTTTCCAGTTCCCTTCTGTCTCTGCATTTCAGTCTCCTTTCCAACCCAATACTGCAACTGGCTCTCCTTCCAGCACTGTGATTTTCCTTTGCCACTCTCCTTTCTGCCTGGGGCACTCTCTGAAGGATGATGTGCTCAGAATTTGTGCCAGAGCCTTGGGCACACTGGCCATGCAACACTTGAAAAATATGACTCGGACAGGTGGGTGGCTCAATTGGTTCGGTGTCCAACTTCAGCTCAGGACATGATCGCCCGGTTCATGAGCTTGACCCCCACACTGGGCTCACTGCTGTCAGCCTATCAGCACAGAGCCTGCTTCGGATCCTCTGTCTCCCTCTCTCTCTGCCCCTCCCCTACTTATGCTCTCTCTCTCTCAAAAAATAAAAAACATTAAAAATAGCCAATAAATAAAAATATGACTTGGAATGATGTTTCCCAACAGAGTTCTCTGGCTTTTGCTACTTACTACTTGAGGTACGCATATTGGACATTCAACCCAACGTAAATAAACATCGTTCTGAAGAGTGGTAATATTGGAGTGGTGTGATCTTAATATTTCATCAGGATGGTGAACATTTATCTTGCTAGGGCTGAGGATGGTGAGCTCTGTAGTAATTCTCTTTCACTGGGAGTGGCTTGATCCGAGAAATAAAACCCTAAAATCCAATATGATGACAACAAAAACAGTGTACAATTTCAACTAAAAGTCACAAGGCATCCAAATCCAGTGGTGCTTTTATGTCAAAAACCTTTGTTAATGGGGCGCCTGGGTGGCTTAGTCGGTTAAGCGTCCGACTTTCGCTTGGGTCATGATCTCGCGGTTCGTGGGTTCGAGCCCCGTGTCGGGCTCTGTGCTGACTGCCAGCTCAGAGCCTGGAGACTGTTTCAGTCTGTGACTCCCTCTCTCTTTGACCCTCCCCTGCTCACGCTGTCTCTCTCTCTCCTAGAAATAAATAAAACATTAAAAAAAAAAAAAAAAAACCTTCGTTAAAGTGGAAGTTTCTTGGGCCATCCTGTTCACTTATCTCAACAATTTTTTAAAAGACTATATATATATAAATATATATTATAAAAATTTATATGTATATAAATTATATATACAAATTATATATCTCATCAATTTAAAAAATTATACATATATAAAATATATATTATATATATATCAGGGCACCTGAGTGGCTCAGTCAGTTAAGCGTCCGACTTTGGTTCAGGTCACGATCTTGCAGTTCATGAGTTCGAGCCCTGCAGTGAGCTCTGTGCTGACAGCTCAGAGCCTGGAGCCTGCTTCAGATTCTGTGTCTCCCTCTCTCTCTACCCCTCCCCTGCTCATACTGTCTCTCTCTCAAAAATAAATTTAAAAAAATTTTTTTAATTATGTAAAAGTATACATGGTTTTAAAATATAATTATATATATGTATTTTAAATATAATTACATACACACACACACTACATTAGATGGATGACTGAAATCCACATTTGACTATGACAGGCATTCACGGGGAGGTTGCAGGTCTGATGCAGACAGGCAGACCCAGCTTTTTGTTTTTGTAGTAAAAAGTCACTTCTTTTTTCATTTAAAATTAAAAAAAAATTTTTTAAACATTTATTTAGTTTTGAGAGACAGTGAACACAAGTTGGGGAGGGGCAGAGAGAGGGAGACAGAGGATCTGAATGAAGTAGGCCCTGCACTACGAGCTCATAGCCCCAGGGCGGGACTCAAAATCAGAACTATGAGATCAGGACCTGAGCCAAATTCGGGAGCCGCTTAACGGACTGAGCCAAGCAGGTGTCCCCAAAAGTCACTTCTTATTGTGAGTTAGAGCAAATATCAATGTAATTAAACAGTTAATGTTAAAATTAAGACTAAGCTGTATTGACTTCTTATCAGGAGCTAGGGCTCAGAAAGACAAATTAACATATTGGCTCAGAAAGATACATCTCAAACTAGGTATCTTAATGCAAGTTCGAGCAAATTAAGATAAATCTAAGTGATATTCCTAAACCTAACTTCCTCTGGGAAATTAGAACAAATTGCATCTTTGTGAAATTAAGCTCAAAACCACTCATTTGTGATAAAATATATGAGCTTTAATTTTTTTTAATAATTACTTACTTTTGAGAGAGAGAGAGAGTGCAAGCAGGGGAGGGGCAGAGAGAGAGAGAGAATCTGAAGCAGGCTCCAGGCTCTGAGCTGTCAGCACAGAGCCCTCAGCACAGAGCCCAACGTGGGGATCGATGCAGGGCTGGAGCTCATGGACCATGAGATCATGACTTGAGCTGAAGTCGGATGCTTAACCGACTGAGCCACCCAGGCACCCCAAATGTATGAGCTTTAAAGTGCTATATAAGAATTCTTTTATGTGCAGATAAACTCAGAAACACACCCACCTCAAAAGCTCTTAGGGCAAATTAGAGCAAATTCAGTAGGTTAAGTAAAAACAGTATCACATCACACAAGTGTATGTAAAGTAAATTGAAAGTAACATGCTGAGCTAGTGAAAATAAAGATGAAACTAAACCATGTGTACACACAAGCAATTTTTCTGTAAACAAGCTAAGAATCAGACA